TAAGAGCAGCACGAATCGAGATTATACTGGTCCCTTCAAGCTATGGATTATGTTTCAGTAAAGTCACCGTTCGCAGTGATGACGATGTGCATCCAAATCCAGACGAGATCGCCTTGTTCGAAACAGCTTATCGGGAACCAATGCCTCAGGTTTATGCTCAAAAATTTTGTTATGGCATTTCTTAAGAGCAAAATCAGCAATATGATTCACATTCGGCGCGCTGAATTTGGATTCATGTATCTCACTTCAATAAATCGATTCAAATTTCTCCTTCAGTTGAGAAGCGATGCGGATGAATAAAGAGTAAATGATGAAATATTTCAGGTAAGGCATGGGTATTGGCAATTCGAAGAGAATCAAGCATGGCAAACTGTCTCCAATCCATACCCAATTCAGTAAGCCCGGAATATCTTTACTTACTTGATTTAGGAAAAGTACAGGAATGGTAGTAAGTGTAAGTTCGAGCATGGAATGAATAGTCCATCACAAATCTCAGCTGTATTAGTGATCTATGAGATTTGACAAATTTTTTCTCACCCGAGAAGTCATTCTGATTCATTCAATGAAAATTGCTGGAGTCGAATTGTCTCATGTCAAAATGCTGATTGTGAGCATAGCTTCAACTGAGGAGATTTGATCCATATTTGACTGAATACGGCTGACATGTTGTGTGCCAGTGGTTCGAACGATCTGCATTCGTATCCTCTTATGGCCTTACGGCAAACCACCACTCCTCCGTTTAACAATCCACATGACCGCAAATCTCCTATCCCCTTCCCTCAAAATCTCTCGGTTTTTATCGACTAATCAGAATGGAATCAGAAAATGTTTAGCTGATCAAGGGTTTGCGGCTAAGAATTCATAAATTGCTTCAAAAGAATCAATTCATTCCGATCGAACAAAAACTTTGAATTTAAAATCTGACAACTATGGAAGAATTGTGAAGAATGAATCAAGCAGCAATAATTGCCGTCCACCTCAGCTCCCCTAGCTGTCTGTCACTCTCAAGTTCCCCCAAGAGAGTGCTCTTAATCCACCCACCCTCCTCCTGCACGTGTGAAACACTCCTCTAAACCAGTCAAGGTGACTAATCATGGGCATTTGCAGGCATACTCTCAAGGATGCGATCGAACGACGACAATATTGACCTTAAACGTCATTTTCAAGAGGTCAAGGAAAGGATAATATCCAGCTCACCAAAGTCTGATCGATTGTTTTTATTTGAAGTTTGAATTTATTTGAATGTAAGCTTTAATCTTGCCTTGATTAAGCATCGTGATTCAGTTGTTCAATAGACAGCCTTCCAGCAGAACATTGCAACTGTGAACGCCAAACTTTCCTCTGAACCATCATAGGTTATCACAGAATCCACCGCACAATCATAAGCAATGAAGTTCGCCTTTCTGAATATTCGATATCCTTTCAACCTAAGACACCAGTAGATCTCTGTGCGCAGTTATTGTATAGAACAAAGAAGGCCAGATTTAACTTTTTTCGAGTTGTCATTCTCACATCCATGAACTTTCTTTCATGAAGTTGCTTTCATAGAGGAGATATACCAGATCTTAAGGTTTGCAAGTGAGTATTGGAAACCGAATCGAACCCAAATTCGCTCAGTAAGATTCACCGAATAATTCGAATCAAATCATCAATGTTATATATAGTTGTGTTTTGCGTTATCAATTCCGGAATAAAAATTCACCTGATAATAGGATGTCTTATTCAGCAGTACAATGGCTACGTGATGGACATGAAGATTGTGATAACATCAAAACATCTTAAAATGTTCAGGTCAGCGCGGAGACTCGCATCTTTTATTGCTAATGAACGCTGGTTGCATACAGATTTTGGTAGAATATGAACGAGTATCAGTGTGATTATTCGAATGTCATCGTTTCAATCAGTTCAAGCATACTAGAGCACGAGCATTACTGATCAAATGAGTATCGGTGTGATCATTTGGAAAATCAGCGAATCAGCAATCTATACATAAATCAATTGAAAATAACTTCCATAATAGCACTTTCCATTCAGTTTGTTCCAATGAAAACAACTGTACAATTTCGTAGCGATTCAACGCAATCAAAATGAAGGCTGAATTTCCACTTCACTTTGCTTTACACAACACCAATATGAAGAAATATAGCAAGCAAAAAAAAAATTGATACGGAAATCGGCAAAATCATAATGAAATGCAACTATGAGATCAGAACTGTATGAGTGATCAAATAGCATAGGCGAATGAATCTCTTGGTTGGTTATCGTCAGTAGTGGTTACACATGATCCTGAGTGATCAATCTCTGTCTCGTTACCTGAATTTATGTGCCGAGAATGCCAGGATTTTGGGATTTGATTAGCGTGGCAGTTTATAAAATTTTGACAATTTAACCATCTCGACTTGTACATCCACCATTTCCATCACTTCATTCATACTCAAAAATACTGGTTTTCACTACTTACAACAGATTAAATAGAGAAATAATTACATAGTAGTATCATCTCGGATTCGCTTTTCAAAAAGTGATGAATGTCCCGGGATTTAATCCAGAATCCTAAGACTCAAAAACATTCGGGAATTTGCAAACACTTCAGCACTTTTCAAACAGATATGAATCTCAACGAGACTCGTAATTTTTCATCAAGTGACCCAACTAGGGCATAATGTTGGTGTGCTTTTTTGACAAGTAATGAACCCTGCCAACAGCTCGATAACTTCACATTCGAAAATTTCACAACCAACTGCCGATGACCATTCGGACAACGAATTCAAACTGATCAACATATCATTGAAAAAACCTATGATATATATGAGTGGATAAGAGAAACGACTGTGAATGAGTGAATTATGAATAAAATAAATTGACAAATTTATGAACGCACAATTAAACAATCGGATGATCGATCACATAGTTAAATAAATTACTGAATAAACCACTGAATGAATACTTAACAAAAATGATTAATAGAATAAATTAATGACCAAATTATCAATCGGACTGACGGATATTCTAGACAAACGGATCAATGAGTATAATAATGGAATGGCTGTGCCCAAGGCGATCGATAAACAGTAACGAA